CAATATTAGCCTATTTATATAATTTAACATGAGCCAAAAAGCTGGAAATCACTAGTTATATTCAGAATTGATTAGTTTGCATGGGCTATATCTTCGTGTGAAGGAGCTGACATTATGTAAACTCAATAAACATCAAGCTTACCTTATATTTCACTATTTCCCACAACATCAAAGTAGTTAGAGAGTCATCTGAAGCAGTAAGGAAGCAATTCACTGCTGACTACTTCCTTCCTATGGTGTACATCAAAGCTGCCCCATTTATGCTCTGTCTTGTGCCATCTACTGGCGGTTATTCATCATTACATGCTGCTTTATGTTAATGGCGGCTGAGGTGAGGGGTTATCTGCCTGGCTGTCAACCATAAAAGGCATGATTATTATCACCAACCCTGGGCTGGACTGATAAGACTGGATTACTTGATTAACACTAGATTCCTCTTTAGATGGAGACAGGCGATATTCATTTTCTGATAGGGGTGGGAGAATAAAAGTGCTGCGTTTGAAGCCTTACTTAAGTAAAAGTATGACATAAAAGTACTAATTCTGCATAAAAATGGTCCCAGTGTTTTACTTTTATATATTCTATGATGTTTTTGGATTAATAGTACTGCATTAATGTGTTTCTAAAGCCATAAAGGGACATATAATCCTTTACTTTATCAGAAAAATTCCAATTCAAAATCACTAAATTTGGAGATATGTTGTTTTTACTGGACATTTTTGTTTCCACACATGTCTGTAAAGGCTTTTGCATAAGTATACATACTACATATTTCTGAATGCAATCTAAAAAAAACATTTCTTGTAACCATTTTACTATTCAGGCCAATCTTATATCCTACATGCACCTGTTGTACTTTTATGACTATACCAGTGTGTTCATCCTAAATCTATTTCTAGGACATTGCAATATGAAACAAATTATAGTAACTACTTTTATTGCGTCAGCTCAAGGAGACACAACAGAACAACTCACAAACAGAGAGGAGATTTGTTGTACAACATTTGTGTGTTAACCAGAGACAGTGAGTCATTTTCCCCTTAGATAAATTGTAATTCGGTGCACATATTTTATCTCTTTATACAGTTTTAGCTTTAGCTGATTTGGTTCCAGTGTAACCTAAAAAAAATTGAGCAATTAGAAGCAATGAATGAGTCTGTCTCTTACTATATAATGAAGAATGTGGATTATCCCACTGTGGGCCCTGAGATACAGACTGGAGCCCATTATTCATTCTAAATTGTACATCTGATAGACAAATGATACAACTGTGACTTTTGACTTTCATCTAATCACAAACGTTAATGTTTCATTGAGGTCCATGCTGTTACACAATGGTTAATGACAAGAAACAAGGACAATTTTAATTATATCAAAGTACTTTTCCTTTTAGTAATTAGGACTTTAGCCTTCATTGAAGCTAATTGCTAAATTAGATTGTTGATGTACCATTAGCAAGTAAAATCTAGCTACAAAGCCTAACATGTGAGGGCCTGAAACAATCATTTTTGTTTCTTAACACCATCTGATGCATATGTGAGTAAAATATTTATTAAATCCCATTCAAATACTCAAAACTAGTCTCAGCTAATGAACAGAAATGCTTATGAGGCATTCGGTTATCCTGTCTGATGTGGAATAGATATCACTAGAGACGAGAAACAGCTCCATGGATGGCTTTAAGCACGAGTTATTCGAGATTGTGCTCGGACTGGCACTGTTAGTGCAGGGTGATTGATTGCAGTGGATGTTCTTGCCTCAATAAAGAAACTGGAACTGAATGACAAGACTTTTTATTTTTAAACCTCCTCCTCATTTCCAGATCATGACATTTCCAAGGAAAGGAGGATAAGAATGAGTTGAGTCACTGGGTAGTTGTAGGACTTTTCTTTGGTATGTGAGCTGTCTTGACGTTCACCAGCTTTAATCAATTTATCACCCATTTCTACCAGGAAACTTGTTAGTGTCGGATAACTGCTGGCTGAGTGATCTGTTAGTGCTGTGTCTAGTCTTACTCACAGCTTTTAACCTCTGTACCTGAGGCAAAAAGGGCCCCATCAGGACACTGATAGGGGTAACAAGCTCTGGGTAAGTATTTCTCTGAAGTGTATCAGTGGGGTTCTGAATTTGGGATTCCTTCCTCTTTCTATTTCTGTCAGTACTGTCCTTAATACCTCCTCATCAGTGCTGGTCTGAGCCCCAAGGGCGATTTGCACTGAGGCCTTGAAAGAGTGGCTATGCCTGTTCTGACAGTCTTGGAAATGTGGGGCACCTGGTGGTTTGAAGGCATGTGGTTTGCTGACTGGTTAGTTTAGCCTTTGGGTCCAGCTGGAGAGCATTAAAAACTTTCCTGGAGTTCCTTTTCACTGCTTTTTTAGCTTGCGTAGGGTTAAAATAAATACTCGCCATGTCAATAAAGTGTCAGAGAGCCATCAGAAATGAATCTGCTCTCATGAGAAGGCTAATGTTTGTAGCTCTGGTCATTCTCAGGCGTGTACCCTACCTTAAGCATCCAAATCAGTCTAACTTAGGCATACAAAAATATAAAAAACTGGATGTCTTGTTCAAGCAGGGTATTTATATCTTTAGCTGTTTTGCTCAACTCGTGTTAGATGTTTCACGATCATCTATCTCCTGAAACTAAACTGAAATCATTCCTCTGTAGCTGCACCTTTATGGTTTGCTGGTCTTAACTGCTATTCTATTATTATTTTATTTAGTCATGATTATTTTACTGGTTTTCACTGACATGTCTTATTTTTACTGGTCAACTGTTTATTAGTAACTGTTATTTAGTGTTACTTTTAATGGTTTTGAATTTGTTATTTATTTTTACTGGTTACTGGCCTTTATTTTATTAATTGTTTTTCTTTATTTTATATGTATTAATTGTGTTCACTTGTGTCTAATTTGTTATCTACTATCCACCTTTTTTGTGTGGCTGCAAATCCCGTGATAGCTCACGCTCTGTGCAAGGCATCAGGCCTCCTCTTGGAATAAATGTAAATAAAGTTTCCCTTGCTTGCTTTGCTTATGATCTTGGGCTAAGTCTGAGTGATAATTGTTCTAGTGCTAACTTGAGGAACATGGATCCTTGTTTTTAACCCCTATGGCACAGAGCGCCTGGCAGGTGGTCCTGTGCTGTCTGAACACCTTTTATGCTTCGTCAGGGGTTGTGTCTGAGTGCATTATTGCAGTATATCACATAGCAAACCCTGTTAGAGAGCTGTTAGAGGTGGTGAGACACACAGACTGAGACTGCAGCTGCCTGAGGAGCAGAATTAAGCTTCAAATCCAAAATAACATCAATTACCTCTCACTGCTGTAGAGGTCAACAGTGTCGTAAGTTTTAATAATCTTCTAATGAAACTAAGGTCAGGGCGTATCTCATTGTCAGCAGCCACCTCAAAAAATTTAATTCCATCTCCTTTAGAGCCTTCTTCAGGCTCGTATCTGCAATTTGTTTAATCATATTGTATACCTGATAGAGTTACAGCTCCTCATACACTGATACTGAGAAAGGTTATTCAAGTTTGTCATGTTACAAGTGTGACTGATGCCTTTATAACAGCAGTAAATAACCTTGTGAAAGTGGGAGAGCAATGTTCAGTTTTGAATAAACAAAATTAATAAAAAAATTTGAATAAACAAAATAAAAAAAAACAAGAAATCTAGACTAAATATAGCCAACCTGCTCAACACCAAACCGCAGACAAACAAAGTTAACAACTAGCTGGCGAAGAAAGGCAAACACCCCGATATTTATTTCCCTGAAGTCAGCAAAATATGTTTCTCTTACATTTGTCAGGTTCCCTTTCTTCAAATGGGCACAAACAATCTGTTGATGCAGCTTTAAAACTGGGATTGCAGCTTTAAAAATCTATTTCAAAATGATATTTTGCATTCAGCATAGGTTACCAGGTGGCCTTATTGGACTGTACAGATGTGACCTGAGGCTTTAAGTGCCTTTGGCATATGTGTGCTGCTGTTAATCCAGACACAATGACAGATAGGATAAATTATGCCAGAACACTGTGATTATTTATTTTCTGGACACTTTAGGCATTACTTAAAAATGTGAGATATTTAAGAGGAATCATAGCAATATGTATCGACGTATTAAGCTTCATTTATTGTCATTTTACAACACAGGGTTGTACAACAAATATTTGTTAAATTAATACATTTGTACATAAGTTGTAGCCCCTTCATGCTACACATACATAGCACATATATACAGATATTTAAATTAGAACATAATATATTAAAAAGACATTAAAATAAAACTATATATATTTTAGGTGAGTTGTACATATACTATATATATATACATTTATACACCCTTAAAGGATGTACAGTTTGTCCAATGTCAGTGTAAAGGTCACTAATTTATAGTGGAGTGGAAGATTAGTTGAGGTATGTTTAAAGATTTATTTAAAAATAAATATTATGCAATAAGAAACAGAATAAATGACATTCAAAAGCTATACATTATTAAAACACATGTCCAAATATGCAGCATAGCTACATTTAAGTAGGTTTATGTTCCTTTGTATATGTTACTTGTTGTTGTATACCTACATTAAGTTTACTTATAATTAAATGTGTTATATAAAAATGTGCCTTGCTCCCCCCACCACCACCATTAAATCCACAGTTAAGACCAATGATCATCCATGTTTGTCTCTTGTAAAGCACAACTGTAGTCGGCCGATGAGAGCTCTGAGATGTGGGCAGCTTAGTGAAAACAATCCCAACCAATAACACCCGGCTGCATATTCTCATTGAGCCTCATGGTCGCGCACCGGCGGGACGGTACAGGATGGGATCAGAGAGAGATGCTCCCACACGGCCCCCTCCCATCCAGAGACACAGCCTCCATGTGATCTCTTCCTCACTCTCTCTCTCTCTCTCTCTCTCTCTGCTCGGGCTTTGACGTCAGACGTGCTCCTGTTCGGTTGCTATGGCAACATATTTCCCTATACCCCCTTCCTCTCCCCCTCCCCTCTCCCTTCTGCTCTGGTAGGATCCACAATGGTACAGCCAGCATCTTGCAGCACAATGGTTGCAAGGTGGTGAACTGGGGGAAGAGTGATTCAGCATCAGCGAAACCTCGGTTCCGTCCACCTCTGCTTTTTCTTTTTCCGTTCCTCATCGCTATTTTTTTTGTTGTGTGTGTGTGTGTGTGGTCTTTTTTTTTCACCCTCTTGGTCATCTTTTATGAACGTTTTGTTTTAAATTAAGAACCTCAGCTATGGTCACCGCAATGTTTCCCGTCGGGATGTTTTGAAAAGGACTGTCACCGGACTGGGATCGTCATCAGCTGGCACGGAATGGTAAGGCCCCGGGTTGGGTTTGTTTAATGTTGGATGCTTTGGACCCCAGCTGCCTGGAGGGTGGAGTGATGAATATTGATTGGAAGGGAAGGTTAATGAAGTCCACTTGCGATGCCTCGGTGGGAAAGGGACGGCGACTTAATAATAAAAAACGGGAAAGAAAAGAAAATGAAGCGTATGTTGATCCATTCACCGCCGCGGATGTTGTTTTATAACAAGCAGCAGCACTGTGCGGGGATTTCATTATGGCGTTAGTCCTGACCTGACTAAGTGTTGTGCATCCGCTCTCCATCTCCATCCAAACATCCTGCAATAGGCTAAAATATTAGTCCTTAGTTTGTGCCTGAATTGGCATCGAGGATAACATCACGTAACAGGCTGTTACCCAAGCTTCTTCTCTTTGTTAGCTATTTTCATATTCTGACTTTAAAATCTGTCCCATTTAATCATGCATTTATTTATTTCTGTCCACATAGCCTGACTAATCTTAGGGTGGAATGAACACACCTGACTGTTGTGTAATGAATTTTGATTGGAAGTGGTGCAAAAATGGATGATGCTCTTCAACAACAGTATGGGCTACATACTGTAAAGGCCTACATGCAGAGTTTGTCCATCCTCCCCCTCAGAAGTCAGCTGCGCACCTTGTGCATTATGCAGACCATCATTACTTCACCAGGGATTCAGCCTCAGATCCATCAGAAGTGCTTAAAAACCAGATACCCTGCTGTCCCCAGGCTGATTTATTGATTCATATAAGTATTTTTTTTCTTCTTCTTAGTGGTGGTTATACTGGAGCTTTTAAGTGTTTGTGGAGGCTTTGTCATTAATGTTAAACTAAAAAGGAATCATAACGCAGAGGGGATGGGATGTTATTCATCCTAATGTGGGCTACATTCTGTGTAGGACACAGTGGATTAAAAGAGATGAAGCTACAGAGAAAGGCAATTTATCCACACCTGCTTTGTTTTGGGCTTTCTTCTGCACATGGATTATTGGAAAGACATTGTAAACCCACCTTGCCTATTATGCTGATTGCACAGGTACAAGGAGCGCATCACACTGAGCTTCCAGTTAATTTGTGAACAAAACAACTGGTTTTGTTATGCTTACGTTTTAAAATTTTGCGTTCTTCCACATACTTGTTTGGTGCATGCCCACAGTCATAGACTAATTACTGGTGTTGTGCTGTGCATGGGGGAGTCAGTGAAGGTTTAAAGGTGTCACAACAAACTCTCCATGTTCGAGACAGGAAAGAGAGAGGTTTTTAGCGCTGTGACCTTGGGTGCTGAATTATTCAGTAGCAAGCTTCCATGCTTGTGAAAGTGCTGCAGGGAACACGCTTAACAATTAAACAAAGCTTTTTATGGGTGTTTCTGCAGTGGCTGAAGTAGAGTGAGATTTCTCTTTTAATAGATAAATAGGCTACTTCTCTTCACCCTCTTCATCATCATCTTGATCTCGTGTCTTGAATAGTTCTTCAGTATTTCTGCTGAATTGCTAAAGTAGCTTCAGTTTATAGAACAGTCTGTTTTATTTGAGTTAGTAGCCACTGCGGGTCTACACAAAATGATAATCGCTGATATTGATTTTGAGGTGGGCAGCTTGTTTATCCAATGGAAAATCATCAATGGAAATAGCCAACAGCACAACATTGTTATCTTGCAGTAGATGATGGTTGCATTTTAATTCCATTTTGTTTAACAGACTTGGGAGCATCAGTATACTAATCCTTTGTTATGTAACAGAATAAAGCAATGTATAAAGATGAGATAATGGTGAGATTGCAAGCACGTTTTATCAACCAAATGAGGAACCAATGATTATTTTCATTATCAGTTAATCTGCCTATTATTCTTCTGATTAATCGATTATTTGTTTGGTCTGTAACATGCTATGTAACACTGAAAAAAGTCCAAATGTATGTCTTCAAATGTCTCGTTTTGTCTAATTTACAGTTCAAACCCCAAATAAATTGAGTGTACAATGATGAAAAGCAACAATCCTCACAATTAAACAGCTGACATGATAGGAAATATCTGGGTTTTTGGTTAAAAAAATACTTTAATAATTGTATTGGGAATTGATAGAGGTAAAAGGGTTAACTAGAGTGAAGTAAATAAACACAATATAAAGGAATGCTCTTACAGGATTTATGTGGATTCTGGTATTGTGGCTGCCTGGAAGACACCAACAAAACAAGCATCTTCACTAGAAGCATTCATAATAGCATGAAAACATTGTGGAGATAAAATGCTACCAGTGTTTTCACAAAAAACGCAAATATTTAAATACAAGTCCAGTCCAGGGTAGCTGGTATGAAGGTTGCTGAATGTGAAAAGTTCAGGACTTTTTTCCAAAACAATTCTTGCTGACTATCAATTACTTAAATGTCCTCATCAGTCTTTTGGCGGCCATTCTGCTGTGATTGTCATGATTATATGGAAGGTCAAAGTCGTCATTATAAGAGGATGGATTACTGAGGAACACTCGCGTAGTCTATCACCACCCAATGACCGTGGCTAAGTGTTGCTCCTAGCTGTGTACTACTATGGTCTTAATAATCCATCCCTCCATGTAGCTCAAATACAAACCCAGATTCACTAAATCCAGCAGTTATGTCATGGTACATAACTAAACAAGGAGGAAAAACAAGAACATAGACAAATACTTTGGCTAAGAAAAAGTATGTTAGGGTGAAGAAGTAGGTCACTCAGCATCATGTTTGGGAAGTTTTTGCAACGTGCAGTCAGGCAGTAATGAGACAAAAGGCAGAAATAATAATCTTCAGGAAGGAGTTTATTGTATTTTCACCCACTTGAATTTTATTTACCCGGCCTGATGTCAATCAAAACATGCTTCTTAATGCTTTTATGAAAATAACTGCTGACATTAAATTTCACACAACTATTGTCTGAAGGAGAGTAACTATACACTTATCACGTAGGTGTAAGGCAATTAGAAAACAATGACAAAAATGCCTGAACACTTACTCCATGCCACAAACGTTTATATATATATATATATATATATATATATATATATATATATATTTATGACGACAATTCAATCCTACCTGGATCTTTGTTGAAAAATGGAAACCACACCCATATTTATACATCATGCACACCAATAGGCTGACAAGCTATATGGTGGCAGGTGTTGGTAGCCATCCAAACTGCACAGGGTGATAAACACCCATAAACAATTAACAATTCAGTATAGAAAAATGTACATAGAGAGAAACAGCAAATACCAAAGCCATACTTCAAAATAGGGTTGAATATATCTTATATATAAACAATCAATCAGATTCATCATCCCATGTACAGTATCAGCAACACCGACCTTCAAAAATATATTGTTTTAAGTTGGAGGAAAAAGAGAAGAAATCTTAAATTCATGTTCAGTAAATTGGGTCTTAACCTGTTAAAGTTAGCAAGATCAAATTACAATAATGAAAAGGCACACCTAGATTTCTAACATATTCTTATAAATGAAACTAAATTCTTGCTGCATGAAAGTTGATTCCCCCAGCCTGCAGTCTTGCTTACCGCCACAGACAAACAGAGAAATGTGCCTGCAGAGAGAGATGCACAGTTACATAATTGGATTTGATCTGACAAATATGCGGCTTTTATTTGCTTTTTGCAGATAGCTGAGTGCAAGACTTTAAGCTGTGTCAGATTCGGTCCCAATCTGCTTGCAGCATGTCTGTAAAGAGAATTAAGAGTCACTAAGGGTCAAACATTGTAGCAACTCAGAGGCCATCAAAAGGATTTTAGGGAGATCATTAATTCCAGACTAAATACAATGCTGAAAACCTGCCTTATATCAACACATTTTCTCTGGGTGCACTCCAGAAGAAAATCCATAATCCAGTTTGTTATTTGGATGCACATATGAGTGATTTGGGCTTATGAGAAATGTTAATACATCAAGTACAAGGTGTGGTACAATCTATTGAGTGAATACCTTTGCAGCAGTGGTCTATTTTAGAAAGTGTTATCTACCGTAACCATGGCATCAGAATAGGTCTCTGATCAAATAAAATATTTTGTATTATCCTATGTGTATAGATAACTATTCAGGAGGTTTTTTTACTGAAGGCACAGTGCCCCGCTCTTGTCCTCTTCCCCTTCCAGAGTAGTTTCAGGTTCTGTAAGAAAAGCTGTAAATCAGATAGATGTACTTATGCACCTGCCAAAGCTGTACATGTTGCTGCCATGCGGCTTATCAGAAAATTGCAGTGTAAGCAGTTTTTTCGGCTAACATGTCTGTTGTTTACTTAAAGTGAATCAAGGGATGCGAGTGAGGCGACAGGCGAGAGCAGAGACAGAGAGGATATGTGTAATTCAGCTGTAAAGAAGCAAATCAATAGATGTCAGCGAACATTCAGATTCTCACAGCCTGTAGATGAGCTCGGAGTCAGTGCTGTGTTGTTTTCCTGGCTGGGATCTACAGTTTGAAGTGCTTCCCTTCCCCTCCCCTGAGCCCAAATGGGAGGCTGTACTGCGTTTGGCTCAAGCTGCACGGCAAAGGCAAGGCAAGGCTGCGTACTGCAGGAGAGGCTGAGGCTGCTGAACCAAGCACTCACAATGGAGCTCCGAGGGAGGGGGAGGGGAGACGGTTGCAGCGAAAGGCTGGGAGCCTGGGAGCAGGAATGGTGGGAGCGAGGGAGGGACAAAAGAGAAGCAGGGAAAGGAAGAACGCAAGCTCTCATCAGTGTTGAGGATGGAGGGGAGAATGAAGCCGTAGATGGAGAATGTTGTGGAATGGTGACATTGGTAAAATGTGGATGAGCCTGAAAGTATGACAGAGGGAAGAAGAGTGGTGAGGGTAGAGGAAGCAAAGATGGATACGACAGGAGACAATAACACTGGTGTGTAGTGGACATTAACAGGCACATTGTGTTTTATCAGTAGCCCTCTAATGTTATAGCAGTCAATCAACCTATTTAATGCAGACATAAAACATTGTCTATAACTTAAATCCTATAT